TATAAATATACATATATAATTTATTTATTTATTTATTTGTAAACTTTACTCTTATTTCTTTTATCATTTTTTAAATCTATTTTCTTCTAATAATGCATAAATATATATATAAACTAACAATGGAAATGTATACGCATTATTATTTGTTTTTTTTGCTTATTCTTTTCTTTTTATTTTGTTTAATTCTTACAAATAAAAGAGGAAATAATACTAATAGCAATGTGTTTCGAAATTCTAGTTATTTACTGTATGTAATTTAGCATACTGGGGTTACAAAAGCTTTTTTTACTTAAATAAGTTACGCACGGTTGTTGATGTAGATAAAAAAACGTATAATTTATATTTATGTTTATTTTTTGTTGTCAGAATGTATTTCAAAAAAGTGAATGTGCGATATGCGAGTAATATATTTTTACAAATAAAAGAATAAAGACTTTCCACATTTTAATATCATTTATTTTCTCTGTTAGTCGTATAAGACAAGACTCAAAGTGACCATGATCGAAATAATATCACTCGACATTTTGAAACGACCGGCGAAAATAATGGATCTGTTCTTTATAGCTGAACTGGCTGCACTAGTTCAGAGTTTATCTTTTTCTCTCTATATTAGAAGGAGAAAGATAAGCTCTGAACTAATTCAGTGTTGCGGGAACCGTGGAGTGAGCTTGATGGTAGAAATCATCGTCGAAAATGTGCAAGACGTGTTTATCAATGCAATAAACGGGAAGGCATTCATGTCGAAGGTGAATTTCCTTATTTTGTTGGAAAAGTTATTTGAAAAAAGATAAATTAAAAGATTTTTTGCGAATATATCGAGAAAGAGCGTAGTTTGAGGTAGGTTAGGTTAAATTTTGTGAGGCGCGCCGTTTTGAAAATCGATTCGAATATCGCAATGTAATCTCGTTTTGGAAAATAACGTGTTATAAGAAAGCATAAAAGATGAAATTGCGATTAATAAATTTTATTTGGTAATGATCTCGAAGATAAGTAGTGGGAGACTCTCGATAAGGTACGAATTTCCAATGAAAACATGAATCAAGAGCATAAAAAAGGAAATATCTGTATTTTCAATATTCAATATTTTTAAGTATAAGTACAGATCTTATAAAGTCAATTTTATTATATACTTTTATCTCATTTCTTCATGTACCATTTTTATGTTAACTTGTTTATTATGAGTTGCGTGATACTTTGTGTAAAATAATGAATACATGCATAGAATTTAATAAATATTTGTGAGTTAATGATCATTCAAAGCACGAATATTGCAAAGAATTGTGGTAACTTTATGTTATTTCATTGTCGTGAATAATATATTGTGATATTTAAAAATCATTTCAAATCAAATTTTGCTTTTTACTTGACAGTCTTTATGCCAAAGAAATATTCTATTAAAATGTTTTATTTGATTTGTATAGATGTTACACTACGTAATATGGGATAACAAGAACCTATCTGAAGTTGTACGCTGTCTCATGGGATATCAACATGATATTTCTTCCTATCGATCCAATGGCAGAGCAGTGGACTGGCTATTCGTGCTGCATACATTGAAGTTTTTACTCTGGACTCCAAAGGCTACTAAACAGTGGACAATTAATGAACCAATTGGGGAATTTGCTATTGTACTTTGTTATCAAAAGAATTTTTGTCGTGAGTACAACACTTATTTATTTAAAGAGATTTTGCCCAGTTTTAAATATTATTCTTAAATATCAACATGTTCTATCATTGTATTGATATTTATATCATTATCTTTTAAAGTATTGTTAACATAATTTAGTGTACTATCCCTTTTTATTGTCTTTTACAAGATATCACTGATATCTCTTTTTTTAAATGATTGATGTAGCTAATAACACATTGCATGACATTCTTTTTTCTATGCTAAGGATACCTGTTGATTGGTTTTTACATGTTATTTTATTTTGTTACGAGATTTATGCTTGCAATATATTTTACTTTCTGAATTACATTCTACTGTTTGGCACTTGCATCAAATTGTTATTTAGAATGAATACAGAACATGTATTAAAATTTAAAACTGGGGCAAAATAAGTGAATCGGCTCTGTATCTTATATTTTTTTGTTTCACATTTTTCAGTGGATAATGCACTACATTTTACAAATTATTTTTTACTTTAGTTTTTTTTTCATCTTGCATCAGAAGAGCATTTAACGTAAAACATATTTATTTCTATTTAAAGACTTTATTGTGCATTTTACTATTTTACTTCAAATTATTCCTTGCAAGAGAAATGTTTATACTATTCACATTAAGTATCTTCTCATATAACAGTTCGTAAATAGTTTTGCATTATCTATAATTTGTGTGTGGACAATATAACATTATACTGAAATTAAACTAATAATTTTGCAAAAGATACGCAGTTACTTGCTCGTCACAATGACGAGATCGTATACATAAAATCGCACATTCTTTACGTGTGGTTTAATATCTAGTAGATAGTTGATATTGATTTCTTATGAATTTATCGACATTTGTACAATCAAAAATTGATGGCAAAAATCATGGATTATACATGATTAAGGGATATTATTATATATTTTTTTTATTTAATAATTTTTTTATTTAAATTTAACTTCTGTAACATAAATCAGCGAAAAAAGAATTAAACTGATTTCTTATCTTGAATGAATATTGATATTTGGAACGTGTTCTTTGGCTATCAGTGTCACGATTATTATTATTTCTGCAGTATAGCGTTTGATCTGATTTTATATGCATAATATATATTTGTTATGCATTGTATATTATATTTCCACAATTGTATGCTTGAAAATATGCACAAAATCCTACATATATAAAATTATTTATAAATATACAAAATTTTGATTGCGACATTTGTGAAGATATATTTTAAGCTTGTTTTTTTTTTCTTTTTAAAACTTTAACAGTTTTGTCAAAAATGACATCACGGTTACGTGGTTCGATATTATACATACGAAATTAAAATATTAGTGTCGCGAAACACATACGGTTACTTGCTCGTCGCAATGACGAGATCATGTACATGAAATTGCGCATTCTTTACGTGTGTCGCAAAAGCCAAGTATCTTGACGTAAAGTGGTTTAATACCTATATAGATTATATAATATTTAGTTGATATTGATAATTTCTTATGGATTTATCGACATTTGTACAATTGATAGAGAACGTAGCACATTGCACAATGTTAGGATTAGGGATATTATTATATATTTTTTTTATTTAATAATTTTTATTTAAATTTAACTTCTGTAACATAAATCAGCGAAAAAAGAATTAAACTGATTTCTTATCTTGAATGAATATTGATATTTGGAACGTGTTCTTTGGCTATCAGTGTCACGATTATTATTATTTCTGCAGTATAGCGTTTGATCTGATTTTATATGCATAATATATATTTGTTATGCATTGTATATTATATTTCCACAATTGTATGCTTGAAAATATGCACAAAATCCTACATATATAAAATTATTTATAAATATACAAAATTTTGATTGCGACATTTGTGAAGATATATTTTAAGCTTGTTTTTTTTTTCTTTTTAAAACTTTAACAGTTTTGTCAAAAATGACATCACGGTTACGTGGTTCGATATTATACATACGAAATTAAAATATTAGTGTCGCGAAACACATACGGTTACTTGCTCGTCGCAATGACGAGATCATGTACATGAAATTGCGCATTCTTTACGTGTGTCGCAAAAGCCAAGAATCTTGACGTAAAGTGGTTTAATACCTATATAGATTATATAATATTTAGTTGATATTGATAATTTCTTATGGATTTATCGACATTTGTACAATTGATAGAGAACGTAGCACATTGCACAATGTTAGGATTTTACATGATTAGAATACCATTATATCTTTTTGATTTAATACTTTTTATTTAAATTTAACTTCTGTAATATAAATCAGGGAAGAAAGGGTTAAACTGATTTCTCATCTGTAATGAGTACTAATATTCGGAACGCTTTCTTTGGCTATCAATGTGTCGCGACGCCGTTTGACACGAATTTAATCATGCTTTTACGCACACTATTCTTACTATTATTATCCGCTGTTATCCTCCAACAAAAGACGATCTTGTTTATTTATCATGCTTACATATAAGATCTTGTAAGTAAACCTACAATAGCTAAAAGATTATTACTTTTCCAATAGACGTTAACATATCCTTATCCTTGCAAGGATAGCAACACTAGCAACTTAATAGCTCATAAAGTAAATGCAAATCTGCTTCTTTTATGAATATTATTCCTGTAGTATAGCATTTGATTCGATTTTATATGCTATCATAATTATATATTATATTTCCACAATAGAAATATGCACAAAATCCTACCTATACAAAATTATTTATAAATATACAAAATTAATCGCGATATTTGTAGACATTTTAAGCTTTTTTTTTAAATTTTAACAGTTCTGTCAAAAATGACATCACGATTACGTCGTTCGATAATATATCTATATTTATAAATTTTGCCTTGATATAAAACAATTTATCTTCGTAATTCGAATAATTGTTATTTCTCATTAGCATTGCAATAATTATTATACTTAGTGTATTTAATTTCTTCTTAGAATCTTATTTAATAAATTCGTGACTTGACCTATCGTGTAAATTCGTTCTAATCTAATATTTCTCCACTGTATAATACATTATTCGAGTTGCGTAACTTGCGATTTTGTTCTCTGTTCTTACATATATACAAAAAATCAATTTTTGTGATCATGTTTAACTTTTCATTTAACTTTTTATCATTATGAAGTGGGGGAGGGGGTACACTGTTTAATTTCTTTTTTGCATTTGCTCCCAAAATATAATGTTCGATTTAAGCTTGCCGGGCGAGATCACATCTGTATCGTTGTCTTCTCGTTTCGGTCGTACAATCTCCGTTCGATTCGTTAATCGCTCTCCTATCAGTGACCGGCTGACTGGCGGTGAGGACAGTTTACCGGGCATTTGACGAAGTCCTTCTCGAAATTTTTTCGAAAGAGATCTGGCCGTCAAACTATGCATTGGTTTTGGCGTTTCGATTATTTGTATCTCGGGTGTAAACGATCTGTCCTTGATATCATCTACCTTCGCCACCTATGAGATAAAAGTGCATGGAATTGATAGAATATTTAAATTATTAGCGCGTATAGGATGAATTATTGGCATATGATTTAAATATCACACACACACACAATTAAAAATTTTTTAAATATAATTTTTAATTTGATAATTATTTTTATGATTGATAAATTTATCGTATGATAAATAAAGCATTAGTCATATCATAATTTGTAAATTCTTTTTAAATACGAATCCGTATTTAATTGAATTTACGTAAATTTCTCTACAAAATTATAAATATTTTTTTGCCCATATTTTTTTATCTCTAAAATAAATCTATCTATTTTTGTATATTTATCTATCTAGACTTTATGTATTTTTATAAATTATGGACTGAATTCAGTCATGCTTTGAATGTTCTTCAAATATATCGAGCTCAAATAAAATCTAAAATCTAAATGAAATCTGAATGAAGTGAAGAAGCTATTTCATTAATTACCGAAGCTCTGTTTACTTTTGCTAGCATGGTCTCTGTTTCGGAAATTTGTCGTCTGCCAAAGACTTCCGCGAGCCTTTTCACTGAAGGCATTGTCCGCCACTTCTCTCTCGTTCCTCGAGATTGTTCCTTACTTCTGATATATATATCCTCGAAGGATCTGTCCACATCAGAAGAAAGTTCGTCGTAACTGTTCAGCAACGAATCATCTTCATCGATGATTGCGTCGCGTTCGTCCGTCTTTATTCCTTCCTCCGATTTATCGATTGCGCGATCCAGCAGATTCCTGGCAGCCAATTCGTCCTGCTGATCCCGTTTCGCGTTTACGTGAACCGGATTTGCATGATAATATGCTTCATCAGCAACATTTGGCATTGACTTAGCCGATATCAGTCCCAAACCCATCTTCTCAACTTTATCTTGTAGCTTGTTGAGATCCTTCGAGCTTTTCGCGAAATCTTTATAACCAAGTGACTTCGGTGCATCGATCAGATATCCTTCAAACATGCGACGTTCGATCGCGCGTCTTGTCAAGTTCGATTTCTCGTTGTTACGCAAGGGTTGATCCAATTGATTATTGGAGCAAGCACGACGCAGACCGTCTTGGTAGCCGAAGGACTTTAGGTCCAATTTGTTGACCATTCTCTGCTGCCGGATGATTTTCTTTTGGTCCATGAATTCGTTCTCGAAACCATATGCCTTCAGATCGATCCTGCGAACTTTCCGTTTCTTATCATTCTTGCACTCGGTCTCCAGATTATGCTCCTGATTGTTCAGTTTGGCGTTAATTTCATTTTTACTATTTTTCCTCTGATCCTCAAAGATGTCATCCGTTTGTTGGTGATCCTTCCATGCCGTTTCGTCAGGCGCGTCTTTCTCGCTTTTGACTTTCTGATCGTCGCCGGTATCGATCATCGAATTCACAGCGCGATTATTCGTTTCGAGATTAATTACCTCGGCGTTATTTCTGCGACACAATTCCTCCGTCGCTCTTATATTCTTGTTTTCTTGCAGGATCGAAATATCGTCGATTTCCTTAGATATCGCGGATTCTTCCTGGAACACACGAAGAATGGCTGATGTTAATTGTCTCGCGCTAATAAATTCATTTGAAAGCTGCGCATTTCATAATCTCGTTATGTTCTGAGTTTTTGCCATTTTATCTTTCGTTTATTTTTTACACGCTGCGAAGAATAAAATTTTTGTCTCTTTTCTCTTTATCTCACGTCTCTTTCATAAAGCTATTATACGATTAATATTATTATCTGGTACATATTCAATAGCATACATTTAATATTAAAAAAAAAAAAATAATTATATTGACAATGATATTAATAATATACGATATTTATATTCACAATATCGTTATAACAATAAGAATTTTTAGTGTTAGTACCGTTAGCACAACGCATGTGATCTGTAATATCATGGACCATTTTTGAAAAAGTCGCTGACAATAATTATTAATCGTATGAATGCCTATTTGTGCTTAATACATATTGGTCGCGATTTTATTAGCACCTTTTCTTCCTTTCTTTATTTTTCTTCATACCCCCCTTTTTTTAAAATGACGGAATTGATTGGTATACAAGTTTAATTTCTACACATATTAAATATTAGTTATTAATAATAGATTTTGTTATTTTAACAATAAAATATCTAAATTTTTGAAGCTTAAAAAAACAACATTTTATCGCATTCAAGAATACTAATTTTTTTTTTTTTTTTTTTTTACACTAATTTGATTTTTTGGAGACAAATTGTGCACGATATGTTTTGAGTACCAATATGTTTTAAGTAAAAAATGATGCATTAGCTTTTGCAAATTAAAAATAAGCTATTCGGATTAATAATCATGCGATAAAGAAGCTTTCTTATGTAGTGTTAATACTGTGTTGCTAATATATTACATATAATATCTATGATGTATAAAAATTAATAATAGAATGTTATGATTACACATAAATATTATTATTAATTGATCTCTGGTTATCGATGTTATCAATATGGCTGATGCTGGAAACTCCGTGGATAATTTATAAAGCATATTAGATGGAAAGAGAGTTTTGCAATATGATTAGTTTATATTATAAGGAATTATTAGATGGATAAAAATGCAAACAATATAATTGTGGAATTAATTGCCGAGTTGCAGAATAGTAACAATAAAATTTATAAGAATGATTATCGTTTGCAAACACTTTAGAGAAAATATTAATACATTCATTTATTATATAGTCATCACATTTTGTACATATGTAAAAATAGATGGTACTTACCAATGAAAGTACTTTTTGGTAGCTCAGATGCGGAATTGATTCCGTCGTGTTAACACGAACCGAGCAAATTTCACATTTTATCAGATTACATTAAGAACGATGTATACGATACATAGATAACAAATTAGATCGTATTTATTGTGCAAATTTTGTACGATTGCGATGGCCGCATTTACAGATGATGAATAACTCGGTATATTGTCGATATAAAAATTAAATATATGTCTTGGAGATATCCATCCTCATTTTAAGAAAAATAGATAAAAATAAAATTTATGATCAGTATATATTATGATTAATATTTATATGCCAACATATTATATAAATCTTTCGCTAAAAATTGAAATGTTTTTATGTGAATATTTTTTCAACTGTGTATAGGAGAGTATAGCACTGAATACGCAAATTGATTTTGTACCATCAAATTATTTGAGAATTTTAATACATAATTATCGTTTATGGAACTCTCGTAATACGTGATCAGAGGTTTGCAAGTTTTGTTACAACATAATTCTCTCTAAAATATTAAATTTATATCTACAATCGCTATTTTAATATTTAATTATGAAATTTTAGAATGCTGCAAACTCCTGTAATAATTTATAAATGTTAAAATTAATATTAAACAGCAACCGTCACCTGTAAGTTTCATGCGGTTGAAAAATAAAATCAGTTTTTATCTCATTAATTAAATTAGTTAATTAATTAAAGTTATCGTGTATCGATATGAAACATAGAAAATACACACACACACACATACACATACATACACGCATACAAGATATTGTGTGCAAGTTATATAGGTAATTTTCAAAGATTTTAATAATTTTAAATGTCTATATTTAAATTTATTTTATATTATTTTTCTATTGTATCATTTTTTTTAGATTAGCAAGAGATTATGAGCATGTGTAATAATTTTATATCCATCTGCAATATAAGTATTAATTAATTTTGATTTTGGATTAGGCCAATTATTTGGAATTAACATGAAAAAAATTAATTAATTTTACTTCTAATATTTTAAAAGAACGATCTATAAAACAGAAACAAAATGCAGTTATAGAAACTTGTAAAGGAGCAGGATATTAATCAGCATTATATATTGTGAGACATGTCTCGTATTTTGTACACCCGTATTTATTTACCATTTGCGACTCATTGTCGTATAAATATGATCTCTTAATTTTGTATAATTATTGTACTCATTCATAAATTCATAATGAATTAACATTTCGCGCCATGGCACTTTTATCTTGAAAAATATGGCCACAGAATTACGACACTAATATAAATTCATTTTCTCAGGCACGTTATTGCACCGAGGAAAATAAATCAATTATATATAACATTGTACCAATTATATTAAATTATTGTTAATAAATCTTTACAATCTTTATTTTGATTGCGTCCGGCAATTATTGCACGGAAGCTCGCATTCTGAATATATAATATCCGCGTTGTCAAAAATCTCGCAATATTTTTCATTATCCCTTCATTTCATCGTATATTCCAATTCATCTTGAAGTATTTCTTCTTTTTTTATTGATTACTAATAAGAAGGGTCTTGGCGTTTTAATTATATAATATGGCAAAAATATTTCTAGGATTGCTCCTACAACAGAATATTTCCTTATGAAAATCACGCTATAATTATTAACGTGATATATTTTGTACATCTTTTACAGGTCGATGTTTATTCCATTTATGATCAGCGCTTATCGTCACCATATCGTGACGTCGCTCAAACTTCTTACATTCAACTTTCTGTATCGCCTCTTATCATCGCTCTTCTGTTCTTGCGCTCGTCGAAGTTTCTTCGAGCTATCTAGGCTCTTCTTATTGTTAGTGTTTCTATTAATCAATTTCTCCAACTTTCTGCCGTTGTTTTCCTCAAAGATTTCCCGATACCTTCGAGATCGCATTTCTCTTCCTCGTCTCGCAACATTGTCGTCGTTGAACGCGTAAGTTTTTCGCCTCTTTGAGATACCATTCGGGAATTTGTTCATTATACTCTCATCGGAGATAGAATTGACCTCGTCCTGCCATTCGTCGTCCTCGTTTTCTAAGGACAAGAGAGAGGATGAATTTACATTCTTCTTACGAAACGAATTCCTGTATTTCATCGCAAAGTTCGTTTTGAAGGCGATCGTTCGATGTCTGCCAACATCGTGTCCAGATGAAACCCGATGGTTCGCAACGTGGTTCTCTTCGTCCTGCCAGTCGCTCTCTTCGAAAGTCGAGCTCGTAGAATGCTCGAAGCTAGCGAATCCTTCGAAACTCGTGGAACGATTTAAGTTTGCTAACCGATCGAAGTTTCCTAAACAATCGATGTTAGAATACAATTCAAAATTTGTTGATTTTTCCGTTACTACACGGTCGCGATATACGATTTTGTCAATGTCGGGTACGGCGGATGCAGCTTCCGACAGGATCGGTCTCAACCGGATCCTCCTGTAATTCGGAATTTTGCTACCATTGATTCTTCGACTCCTTTTAATCCCGCCAAAAGTCTGAAATTTTAATTTCGCGAACTCTAGTGTGCGATCTACGAACTGATCCTCCGACGACGAGGTTGATTCGTCTTCAAGCTCGTCGGGGTCCTCCTTTTTCCTCGGCCGGATTTTGATGCCGCCGAATGTGTGGTACTTATATCCGCCGGTGGTCCAGAATCTTCTGCCACCAATTAACGATATCTGCTCACCGCCGTCATGACGATTGTTGTCTGCCACCCGGTACATTCGTCGCCAGCGATCCCGATCGCTGATCACCGAGTCGCGCGAACCGATCCCGGAATCATGATCACCCGGATCGTGATCGTCTCGATTGTCTAGCAAACTTCCACGGTTAACATCGTATCGTGGTACTATGAGCTCTTCAGCCTCGCGATTGGTATTTCCTTCGCGATCGCTCCAGAATTGATTCCAATCCGGCGATATGAATTTCTCGAAATCCGTATCGATCTTCAAGTTCTCTGCCAGAATGTAGTTGTTTTTCTCTCTATCAACTGTCGCTTCAGAATTTCTAAATCTTTGATCTCTTGTTGCGTCTTCAATCGTACTTTCGCTGTCTTCGTTTATTCGCTCATTCTCTATGACATTCTTGACTTGCTGCTTGTTGTCGTTGTCGTCACCGTCGTGGCATAACCGATCGCTCAGATGCAAGAGGGGGTTGATCGCGAAATGTGGACTGGCAAGGGGATCGCGGCAGCGTCGTCTAGGAAGACTGCCGCGCAGGGAGGCGGCCTCGAATTGCTCGAGCTCGTGGTGACTCACCTGTTGTTCGCGTTGTTCGTTGCCGGTACAGCTCGATTGCTGGGACAGCGAGCTGCTCGGTCTGCTCGACATCGAAGACATCGTCGACCTGGTGGCCTGCTCCTGTCGCTCCCCGCTAGCCGCTTTCGATTGATTGATATAATAGTCCCTGCCGAATCTGTGCAATGATCGATAAAATCGGAATGATAGCGTAGCAACAAAATAATACTTGGATTTTTCTTTATTTTTAATCTAATTAATATCTTGAATAAAAAAAAATATTAATCAAAAATTATAGCCGCGGGATAATTATCCAAAGAAATGATTTGTTTGAATTTTCCTTTTCCAAGCAAACTGGAATTTTTGCATTTTTTAAAATCTTTGTACAAGAGAAAAAAAAATATATATATAAAAGAAAATATATTTTTATATATTTTATTATTTCGAGGAAATTGATATATACTTTATTATTTTGACGAAATTGATGAAAGTTACCGTTTAATGTCCGGACGGTCAAGTGCCAGAAGTGCCTCCAGATTTACTTCGTTCAACTTCTTTAAGTCATAATGAGCTCTGCACAAAATAAGAGATTAAATTGAAAGCTTTGCGGCTACGATATTCGCAAACATTCTCACGCTATTCTTACCCTGGAATATCCGAATTTTTCGAATATTGTCTTTCCAAGCATCGCTTTCGTATATTCTCCTCGCTATAGGGATTGTTTTCGATCGGTGGCGCATTTTCCCATTTTTTGTGTTCGCGTTCCGCTATTGTACCTGCCCGATATATTAATTATTATTTAATATCCGCAATATATTTATTATAATGCATTAATATTCTCTTGCATTCGTGATTTTTATCGCGTTTTATTGCAGAACATTGAAAATATTTTTAAGTTTATTAAAAATTTATTTTTTTAGATAATTTGAAAAACGACATAATTACAATTCATACGCTATTTCTTGATTCATGATATAATTTATTATAGCATTAAAAAAAATATCTCGGAATTTTATATATGTTTGATTTTAATTATTATCGGCTATAATAACTTCTACATTATTTTTCTCTTTCTTTCTCTATAAAAAATTTATATTTAATATAGTAATAAATTTTATACTTCTTCTGTATAATTTTGTATCAGGGAAAAAATTATTTTATTTTATTTTTCTGATAAAGAGAATTATACGAAAAAAGTACATTTTCTTGTAAATTCAATATAAAGGTATGAAATCGCAGCGCCTATGATATATATA